CCGGAAAATATATAAATCTCTCCAAGAATATGAATAAAGCATAGGCACATGAAGGTTATCCCCGCTCTCCCCAAGCGAAGGTTACATTCGACCTCGTCCGAATTAACACCTATCCGGCCCACGGTCTCAATTAATCAAAGGTTACATTCGACCTCGTTCGAATAAACACCTATTCGGCCCACGGCCTCAATCAAGTAAAGGTTACATTCGACCTTGTTTGAATTAACAACTATTCGGCCCACGGGCCCAATTAATTAAAGGTTACATTCGACCTCGTCTGAATTAACACATGTTCGGTCCACGGCCTAAATTGATTAAAGGTTACATTCGACCTCGTTCGAAAGAACACCTATTCGCCCTATGGCCTCAATTAATTAAAGGTTACATTTGACCTCGTTCGAATTAACACCTATTCGGCCTATGGCCTCAATTAATTAAAGGTTACACTCGACCTCGTTCGAATTAACACATATTCGACCCACGGCCTCAATTAATCAGAGGTTATGTTCGACCTCATTCGAATTAATACCTATTCGACCTACGACCTTAACTAAAACGAAGGCTACTTTCAACCTTGTTCAGCTTACTCAAACAAATTGGTTACGACAAAGGCAATCAAGCAACAAAATCAGAAAAACGCACAAACCCGAATAAAGAAAAGGAATCAGGTACGAATAACAAAACTAACACTTCATACTATAGAATAGTTTTTACAAAATTACACACTAATCTGCGGCTAAACCAAAAAGAACAACAACTAATCACCGCCTGACCCAGCGGCGCTACCAGCTTGATTGCCCAGACCGTCTCCACCTACCTCCTCGCCATCGCCATCACCAGAGGGATATTCATTATCATACCAGGCATCCTGTTCGATCCGATCCACGCTCACAACCTCCTGTCGCCGGCTTCCGGTGTAGCGGGATCATAACCACAAGCAAACCGAGCTTTACGTGCCTTAGCATGAGCGTCCTCAAAGTTGGCTTCTGAAACAGCCACCGTCCCCATCAGGTCCCTGAATATATCTAGCTGGGCCTCAGCATGAATCTATTCCTCGTACAAATCCCGCAGAACGTCAGGAAAGGCAGAAGTGCGCGACAAGGACGACTGAGTCAACAACTGTGCCTTCTCGGCCTCTAGAACTGCGACTCGATCACTAAGGCTCGAAGAATCTCTCTCCAGCTTCCCTATCCGCTCATCAAGCCGCTCCTCCCTAAGCCTGGCCATCTCCAAAGCACTCTCCCTCTCAAAACGAAGAACGCGGATCACGATTGTGAAAGCCTCCGCCTTCCTCACATCTGACAATTGGGCTTACTCCGCCCTCTCTAAGACCACCACCTTATCTGCAACCTCTCCACTCAGAGCATCCACTTTGAGTTGACACTCATCGAGCTCGGCGTGCAATAAAATCACCTGGGCTTGAAGATCGGCGCATTGAGCCTCCACCCCTTGCTTACCTCGAGTTCCTCTTCTTTGTCCCTCAACGCCCCCCTCGATTTTGCTACATTTTCCAATGACCCTCATCAATTCGTCATCCTTCTCCTTCAGTTCACTTCGGAGAGCCTGGAAAATGCTGATTCCACCGAACCGGCTGCAGATCTTGCGGTGCTTATCACGGTATTAGCGATATTTCCTCTTTATCTTCTGGAAAATGGCCTTACGCCTCTCCTCTCGGCGGGCACTCTCGATCTCCAAGATCACGGTCTGAAAGAAAGACAGAACGAGTAAGAATAAAACTGGATTCGACATTAAAAAAATGAAGAAAACATTAAAAAAATGAAGAAAGATCAAATGTTTACCCTAAGAGCGAGGCCGACTATACTCCTCGACAGAGTGGCGTCTTTTAACTTCTTAAGGGTCTTACCCTCCACATCGGAATAGAGGGGACCAAGGGAAGGGATCATGTCCTCCGTATCAACCAGCAGATCCCGGTCCAAGGGGATCGCGATAGACCGCGTGTTCCCCTCCAATCTCACCTCGAGTGGGGTACGTCCTTCCCCCATCATCCTCGGCGTCCATATCAGAGCCCGTCTCGTAGCCTTCTTCTGCTACACTTTTTCCCTTTATGTTAACCCGGGAAGAAGGATCATTGGTTGATAGCAAGGTCGATGGCTCGCCCTCCCGTAAGACGTCAGGGACTCTTGCCGACGGCCCTTCAAAATACATCACTACCTCAGGGAGAGACGTACATTCCTCGGCCCACGATGACGGCGGAATCGTGGGCGGTAACTCGACGCCATCTCCAAGTTCTATGGTCGCCGTCTCTCGGACGACGAAATCCTCCACACCGAACTCCCCGCACGGGCAACTCTTTCACTGATATCTACAGATCGCCTCTTGCGGAGAAGCAAGTTATTGCCATTCAGCGATGATCCTTCCTCATCGTCCTCATCTACTAAATGACGCAAAGGGGAAGTCGAAAGCCCTGATGCAGGAGTAGTCGACGACCGAGCAGACCTCATCGCAGCAGAAGGAACAGAAGCGGCCTTCTTCTTACGGAATGCCGGAGCAGGAGCCTTCTGCCTTCTCGAAGGTCCCCGAGCTGAAAAAGAAAAATTAGAAGACCATCACTTCCCGCACAAAGCCACAACGAGCAGATAACCACGAGGTCAAAACAGTATAGACGAGATAATTATGCATGCATAAATAACTACGTATAGACGAACTCACCGGTCGCGGAAGGCGTAGGCCCGAATTTCTTGATAAAGGTCGGCCATTCACGAATCCCTACTGTGTGAGGCAAGAACTAGCTGACCCAGTCATGAATGTCCCCGACCAAGGAAGGGGGCGAAGTCTCAGCTACACGAAGAAGGGACGAAATGTTAGACTGCAACTAAAACAGGAAAAATGAATGCTCGGCAAAAAGATACTTACGAGCGTAATTCCAAGCCTCGGGGAACCTGCTTGCGTTGACCACCACATCCTCGGTCTTGATGAAGAAATAGTTGAGCCAGAACTGACGATTCGCCTTATCGTCCATCTTCACTACCAAACTTTTACTTCCTCGGTGGCGAAGGTGTAGCATTGTCCCCCTATAGAAACTAGGGGGGAAGAGATGCATCAAGTGGCAAAGTGAGACCCCACGGCCAGCCAACTCCGCATATTTCGTCAGCATACGGATAAACTTGTAGATATAGAGGGAGAGTTGGGTCGGGCAGATGCCGTAGTAGCGGCAAAATTCCTCCGCCAACGGGAAAAAAGGAAAAGAATAGCCCAATTAGAACGGATACGCATAAAACGCGCAATATCCTGGACGATGTATCTGTACAACATCGTGCCCCGCCAGAACCAGATCGATATGAGCCGAAATTTTGAACTTTTTCCTAAACGCAGCGAGGTCAACCTCGTTCATCGTCGACTCCGAGATATCAGGGTCATCATCAGGCAACTTCGAAAAGTCAGATCTAATCTTTTTACTGCGAGGAATTATTTTCTCCACCGTAGGGAACCCCTCATCTTTAGGGGCAACGGAAGCACCGTCGCTATGAGGAGGCATGTGCACCGCCAAAGGGGTAGGGTTAAGCGCCATACTAGAACCAGAGGGTGCGTTAACCATATTCTTGAGAGGATATCTTGAGCACAGAAAAGTCGAGAACAACTGAAATCACTGGAACCAAGGGAGCGGATACGCAGTGACGAAGCAAGAAGGAGACAGGGGTTTGATATGGAGAATAAAGAAAGGGATACAGGGATTCGATAATGCAAGTATGTAAAACAAACATAAGGAACCTCAGGTCCATATTTATAAGATTTCAAGCACCAAGACCTAGAAATCAAGCCATCATTGCCCAGCGCAAGTATCGAAACTGCAGAGGCGCGGGAAACGACGCAGGGCATCGGGAAGGCGCGGCACAGTGACGTATGATGTCATGACGTCATTCTGAAACAACGCATCCCCAAAGTTTGTAGCTCACGAAAAGTCATGTCGCCACCTCGCCTAAAGCGCCGCTACCCATCTTGCTCGCCTCATTTCGTCAACTGCGACATGCGGAGTCCGCTCATCAAGGCAGTCTGAGCTCGGCCTTAATAAGCGGAGGGACTAACTGTATAAGCCAAAATCCGTCTTCAGAATATTTAGCGTAATGTGGCATTAAAGAAAGTTATCGGTCGAGTTCGCCCAAGATGCTACGAGGTTAATGGCCGAGGTGCCGACATGAGTCGTGGTCAAGATATCGACGGTTATCGTAATCAAGATGTCAGCAAGGGTCGAGGTCGAGATCGACTACTGATGATAAGACTTGTAACGGCTAATTTGTCAAGATAGGATATTAAAAGAAAATATTCTAGTGAATATTCCCCGCATTTGTACTATTAGGGTTTCCTAGGAAAAATGTCTCATATATATAGAAAGAGGGGACAATGATATAGGCATGTAATATTGATTCTGATAAGAACACTTTTAAGAAGAGGACTTTCCGTCGGGCAAAACCATAAATATTACCTTTTTACAAAGATTCTTGTTCATATTATTCCCCACTTTCCATCTGAATCTTGAATCTATCTGTCATTCATCATTGTCAGGCAAAATATTCGTCCAACTCATCCATTATTGGGTGAATCATTCTCTCTATTTACTTAAACGTCATTTATTGACATTTATTGTAGACTATATCTCCCTTAATGCTCCTGCTTGAGAAATCAATATTTATTGTCACCAACCACATACGGAATCTGTCCCATCTAATATACATCTCTGTGCTTAATATCTAGAGTTATTATCCTTAACTAGATCTAACTCTCATTATATAAATTTAATAGTTTAGCCGGAAATTATATTTTTTGATCAAACAATACTAAGATTAAAAAACTTAACTACATGTAATAGAACAAAGGAATTAATGAACAAAAAATGTTAACTTAATCAACGATAATTTAATGTCCCTCCCCCAATGTAATAAAAAATTTAAAAAGAAATTAATTTAGTTAGTCGATGGTAGAAATGAAACGTGAATGACCACGTAAACTGTTGATATTTATTTGATGTCGATTAGTTATTAGTATTTCCACAATGCAACATTTCTTTCCCCATTGGTAGCACCTTTCTATAATAAAATTTAATTAAGCTAATGACTTACATGCATTGTCTCAAAAAAATACGTGGTCCTATTGTCATTTATAAATAATTTTGTGGCAGTAAGCAAAACCAAATGAGGATTCAAAATATCTTACACAAAAAATTGGGAACTCAAATTGCTACACAAAGCACAACAAATACAGGATGTCTCCAGATGTCTCAGAAACCAGAGGATACTGGAAATTTTCTGCTCATCCTTTTGCTAGAGAGCCATGTAAGAGTCCGATATAATTCACATCCAAAGATAACTATCAAGTTGTTCAGCAGGCTAATCTACAGGTTATCATATGGCGCTTTTGTGCTCATCCTTTTGCTAATGGCAACCATTCGCAGCTTCCATTTCCATGGAGTTGCACATCCAAAGACGGCAATCACTTTGTTCACGGACTAATCTACAAGTAATCGTTGGGAGATGTCCGCACATCCTTTTGGTAAAGGCAACCATTTGGGACCTCCAACACAAATTCACATCGAAAGACAACCACCACTTTGTTCTGATGACTAATCTACAGGTTGTCATTGGTGTCATTCAACCAAGAGGACCATGGCAAAATTACAGAGCTTAAGGTATCCAGGGATTGACAAATCTATAGTGGCGGGTCTATCTTCTTCTGGGCGAGCTGCGGAGCTTGATGGTAGTAGAGTAGTCGATCTGATCTCGCGCGCGGGCGGATAGAAATGCCTATAGATGAGGTAGGCGAGGGTAGCTTGCAGCGTCGACCGGATAGGGCTAACCAGCTCAAGCAGCAGCAGCCAGAGAAAATACACGCCAGACCGACCAAGCAGATGTAGGAACCCAAAACTGGAAAAAAACTGTTATAGGATGTTGGATAGCTTGTGAAACCTTTGTACAACAGCGTGAAGATCATGCACTTCATACACCTCGATGAGTGACCTAACAGCTCTGAATATTACATCTTTCTTGTGGTTAACAGAAGAGTAATATTCGGCCTCAAACTGGTTAGGTGATTTCTCAAGAGACATGCAGACCAACTTAAACCACTCCTCGAGAAAGGATGATTTCTACAGCAACATAAACAGAATGAGACACAAACCTGAGAAAAGATATAGTAAAGCAAATACAGATTTTATGGACTAGAAATCTGGAAAGAGAACATGTACAGAAACCTCGACATTAGCAACTCAAGTATTTTGGTATAACCTTGTATATTAAGATTCTTGATTTATTTCTTCAAGTTCTCTTTATGTGTTCTCTTTACCATTAAAATAATAAGAAACACCATTAGCTATTAAAGATGCTACTCAATCCCCTTGCATTGGAATTAGAAGAAAAAAATAGCACGCATCAGATAAAATATTAAGAGAAATAACTAAAATCTCAACCCGGCTCCTATCATTCCCCCCTCCCCCAAAAATAATCTGGAATTCTGTAGAAAAGATGCTAAGACAACTATCGTATATGAAATTTAAAGAACATAGATACTATTGAGGTTGAGTGGAAGTTTTTCAATGTAAACTTTTTAAGTACTCAGAGGCGGATCAAGGATTTGAATTATATGGGTTCAGCTTTTAAGGTTTTTAACATTAAACTCATTATATTTTTAAAGATAAGGATTCATAACCTTTTTTTTTTTTTTTTTTTTTTGCAATTTTTATGAATTTTTACACGTAAACTTATACTTCACATATAAAGTTATGGGTTCAATTGAACCGGTCACTAGAATACTCCATCCATCCCTGTAAGTACTTGACTCTTTACTAAAGTAAAATACAATATTTTGTGTAAACATATTGAAAGACACATGCATGGAACCTAGTGCAGTATAAATTTATGAAAGGCTAAAGGGCCAACTACGTACATGTGCATGTTTATCTGCTTGCATAATAAGGACTACTCTCACGAAGCAGTTAGCACCGTAGTACTTGCTCTTAACTGGTGACTCTAACGGCTGTTACTAACATACTTGACCAATATTGAAAGGCTCAAAGTAAATCCAAAATACTAATGACTGCACAATTTTTGTTTATGCCCACCAGAAAATAAAAATTCATCTACAAAGGGAAATAACCTTTCGTTCCATACATATCTCAATCATGTCTGAGGATAGATGCTAAACAAATCCATGATCAGCCTGATTCTATCATCTTAAGAAAATTCAAGTCACAAGAAGATCCAATTGACAACCCTTTCACTTGTTTAAGATAGACACACAGACTCGTTCATTATCCACCATTCCAATATTGAGACGCAGCAAAAAATAGTTTCAATGGCCTTTACTTGATATATCGACACTATGAAGCAAACAATTCTATCTATCTATCTATTAATGAAGACACTTTATCTAATGAAGCAGGAAGAAGAAAGCAATTACAAGTTTCACACTGCTAGGGAAGCAGCCCGGATGCTGCATCCTAAATGGTGAAAATCCAGTAGCCGAAAGCATCACTAGCTTACTTTCTGACCAGAGTTGCATGGACCGCGGAGCTACTTCAACGATTCCCATGTTTATAGTTTGAAAGGAAAAGGATCCCAGGAAATGTATTTGAACCTAATTCTTCCGAAATTTTCTATTCCAATCAACGGCGTCTTACCAGGTGATATTGGTAACCAATTTATGATTCTGAGGATTCTAATCTAAGGGGAATCCAAAAATTATAAATTGTAACTGCTTGATAAACATGGGTGCAACTTCAGACAGAACTGTTAGAAAAACATGCCTACCAACGTTTCAGGTTTGTGAAGACAGGCTAGAGGTGGTGGAGTAATAGTAAAGAGATTTGGCATATCAAAAGCAACTCAAAATATGGCCCATCAAAAAAAAAAAGAGTGGCAGTAGTTGGAAATTAGGATATATATGGCGATGGAGAAAGACAACATAGTGATGTAGGAACATCATGTGGCAATTCCAAGAGGACACACCAAAGGACAAGCATGCCGACAACTTTGGATTACAGGTCTCAACATCAGCGCAGAGAACTTGAGTTCTAAAATCTTTATACTGCCTAAAAAAAGTTGATGCACGCAACACAGATGGGAACCAAAGCAGCAACAGCAATAAACAGAAAGTAACGGAGTAGTACAATATCACCACATAAATCATCTGCCATGAAACCTCCTTAAAATACAACAACAACAACAATAACAAAATACCCAGTGTAATCCCACAAATAGGGGTTCGGCGAGGGTAGTATGTACACAGCCTTATCCCTACCTTGTGAAGGTAGAGAGGTTGTTTCCAGTAAACCCTCGGCTTCAAGCAAGCATGCAAATCCTTAAAATACAAAGGTGCTTTTTAAATTTTATTTTATAAGGAGATTTTTTTAAAACAATCTGTAGATTCTCAAGCATTGAATTAATATTATAAGTCTTACCTTCATTAGAAACTCATGGACACGGCGATCATCCGTTTTGGAAGTGAGGCCAAGCAAATGCAACATAGTTGAGGTAAGCTGCAAAAGAAAAATTCAGTAAAAAGCAGTTGGTGAAAATAATTGATACAAGAGTGGTCAACTATGATAAAGAGGATCGAACTTATCAAAACATTGAACTCATGTCATGGGATTGCCCCAATCCACCAAATACGGAGTGAAATACTTTAACCAACATGGCAACACCAATTAATCAAATTATGGCATATATCTCAAGTTTAAGTTTAAGTAGAAAAGTGTTCAGCTTTTATTTATTTAAATAATATAACCCTTTAGCTGGCAGTTTCAACATATGCTTCAAAAAGAGAATCCTAGTCAAGAAGACTACAGCCCCAGCCCACTACTGCAACAATGTCATATCGTAACATTTATAAATGGAAAGTAGACAAGAAAGCGTAAACAACTTTTTCATCTTTCGATAAGAAGGGGTACAAAACTTGACTTCTTCTATATGAAAAGATAAAAAATGTTCAGCAGACATTTCAAAGCATGAATATTCATACTCCTTGTTGGCTATACTTCTAATGTCTTGCGTGTCTAAGTAAAATGGTCTAGGAGCTCAACCTGCTTTTCAAGCGCCAACCTATATTTCAAATTTGATGGTGATGAAATCTCATCAGAACTCAGACTCTCGACAACATGCTGCACACCTTGAAGAACACTAAAGAATGATCCGCCATAATCTGCACAAAACGGGTCTCACATTATGAGGTCAAATAGGAAAGAGCCAATAGCTTGAAGAAATACAAATGAACATGACTAACAGTTGACTTCATGATGGAAAAAGAGCCCTTCCACCCTCCGACTTTTCAACCTATATCTGCACCACATGACTACATAAAGTATGTCATATCCACAAACTTCTTCTATTGTAAAAAATTCTTGCACTTACCTTTAGCATGGGCTTCCCTGTTATGTTAGTTTCATTTTTTTTTTCTTTTGGACAATGGTAACAGTATATTCATCAGCATAAAGATTGTGCTGGCAGCGATATTTACAAATTATGTCTTGTCCGTTAGTTTATTTTGGCTGTCCTTTAACACAGGTTAGTCCTACTTGTCAAGTAGCTTTTTCCAGCACCAGTATGCAAGTTTTAACAACTACTACTACTATGCCACAATCGCAAACTAGTTAAGAGGAAATGCAAACGTGATCCAAAGGAACAGGAAAAAAACCTTTCCATAAGCCAACTGTGAGATGAGATATGAAACAATAGATAAAAAAGAAGAATTCACCATTTGAGGATGCTGGAACAGCCAAAGCAGCAGCTGCTTGTATCCTGATCTTAAAATTAGAAGAATCACGAAGGAGTAGCAACAAAATGCTAAAAACTGATGATGCCCTGCAATATTAACATGCTAGTCAATACAGACAATATATTATGTGCGTTAACAACATATGTAGAAACTCAAATACTGCAAACATATAGAAGTGTGAGAATATCAATACAAAATGGAGTAAAAGAGAAGAATCATGCACCACTCAAGAACAGAATTAAGTTGGTGGATTGCATTCGGAGACTGTACCAATAACCCCACAATAAGAATTTTCCAGCCGTCAATCAATACAAAAAAGAGAAAAAGAATTATGCATCACGTGACAATCCAGCTATCCTCGTTTACATAATGCATCTTAAGGTTTTGTCAATAACTAAAAATGTCACTACCCTTCGAAATCCCTAAATATTTTCTTTTTCAAACTGTAAGCATAGTTTAGTAAGATGACAACTCCTATAGTCCTGTGCAACCTATCTGCTTCAGACTATCATCTCTTAAAACAAGTTTTAAGTGACTATCAATTAGCATGGTCAAGGCGACAAAGAGAACAAAAATAAGACAGGTAATATAGTTCTATTAATGGTATATTTCTATGTAGCTCTTACAAAATGGGGATTACTGTAAATCAAGATACACCTATTGCCAGCTGGACTACTAGGAGAGCATGCTCGGTCGAAATATAGGTTTTGAACTGGATTTTCATTTTACTCCCAAAACTTTTTAATTCTTTCCATTTATTGACTCCATGTTTTAGGGAATTGAGTCTTCTCTGATCCTCAGGCATGTGCCTCTGCACCTGCATCATCTTTTACTTTTCTTAAATATTGTTTAAATGGTGATTGAATTTGCTAATATCTACTTATATAATCAGACGCATAGAAGTAACCAGGTCCTCTCTTATGAAACTTGTAGATGTTATTTTCGTCTATACTCTCTTCTACTTGTGGCACTGAAACCCAAAAAAAGCCTTGGATGAGATTCATTAAGGAACCCAAGAGATGAGATAATCAACTTGGTCCTCATCTTTATCCATTCATCCTCTTTGGCTCACCAGGTTGGATATATCCAAGTAACTCCCAGAATCTGAAACCAATTTACCTAGCAATCTTTCTGTTAAGTTGACATGGGTTTTTGAGGACGAGGATGTCAAATACTGAATCGTGTAACAAAAGCCATCCAACATCTCTAGGCATAATCACGTGGCCATCCAACATCAATAGAAAACAAAGACATGCTAAATAGAGGATTGGGACAAGGTTAGGAAGTACTCACCAAACCATGTTTTCCAGCTTCAATGTTGGATTGGAAAACAAGTTGCTCAATGAGTAGCAAACATTCCATTGTACCTGATAGCAATGCCAACACTTTTAAGTATGCAGTTATTGTACTTGGAGGACACACGTTAAATTCAGGGTTTGATATCTACTATTCCTTTTCATTCTTTCTTTTTACCTGATGCGCACTATGAGGGAGAAGAAAATACCTTAACGTTTCCAGTTGTAACACAAGAAATAAATGCCTGCACCATCTTCTCAAGCCATTTAAAATTTTCCAAGGGAGTGTTATGTGCACTTGAACAACCTCCCAGATCCTCGGAGACGGACAAATTTTTTGTGGGCTTGCCCCCAGAAGATACGACCATTGGATCTGCTTGCCTATCATAAGCACACGATCGACTTGAAAGCCTAACAACTCTTGAAAGGTTACCCAATGCTCTTACAGCATTTGCTTTGACCTGATATCAGAAAACATGAGAAGTAAATGGTAAATGGCAATAGCTAACATGACAAAACACGTCAAGGTATAAGAACTGGAAGTAGTAGATATAGCTAACTGCATGGCTTACCTTGTCATTATCGTTTGTAAGGTGCAAAGCACAGTTCATCAGCAAGGAGATAGACTGTGAGCTCACTGTTGAATAATTCATATAGAAGAACAATAAGACATCTGAAAGTATTGTTACACAACAAACAGATCTAAAAGCATTCAGAAGTTCAAAGGACCTGAAGAGAAGTTCTCAAATCCATGTACATCAACATGGTGGCGAAGTGCATCACATATATTAGCTAAAGCCCACGAGGCTGTTATGCGTACCTGAAAGTTAGCACATTAAGCTTGCCTGTACCTTTTTACTAGGTTAATACATTGGAAAGGAGAAGGTATGCAAAAACAGGAATATAGAAACCAACCGATACTGAGGAATCATTACTATTGTGCACAGCAGGAGAAATGAACTTGTCAAAAAGCTCTGCACTGCCAAGATTGGAACATATATTTACTCACTAACAAAGAATGTGCATAAATGAGTCTGCTGACTAGCAAAATATAAATAAATTAAAATGTTTTCTCTCTAACTGTTTAAGCTTAAGCTTTTAGATGAGGTGGACACACAAATTCAACATGGTATCAAAGCAAGCAGAGGGCCAGAGTTCAAATCTCACTGCTACCGGAAAAAAGAAAAAAAACATATTCATGTGTTTGGCCCATGAAAAAAGAATCAGGCACACATGAAAGAGCCTATCGAGACAAAATATAATAAGTAAATTAAAAGTGTACTCTCTCTCTCTAACAGTTTAAGCTTAAGCTTCTAGATGAGGTGGTCACACAATTCAAATGAGTTCAAATAATGCCTCCAACGAGAAACCAAGGCTAAATGACTCTAGTACCTCTGGAAAATGTGTGGAAAACAAGCAATTACACCAATAGCACGACAAGCAGCTGATCTAACATTTGGAACCTCATCACTTCTTGCAGTTTTAACCTGAGAAGATTTCACAAGTACAACTTAAATCGCCATGATCATTCTGTATACTTGAAAAAAGGATAAAGCACCAATGCACTAATTAGTTGTGTAGCAAAAACTTACACAAGTGCTCAGGATGAAGTCTTGTTTATCCTTTGGCAGAGAAAAGAAAACTGTGGAAGTTATTCCAGCAAAACAAGTAACTGACGCAGCCCTCACCTAAAGGAGCAAAGCAAAGTAATTAGAATAAATGAGTCATAGAGCAGCAGGCTGGCAACTTCTATGAGAGAAACCAATACAAGATCTCTATGCATTAATTGATTTTGATGATTAGCATGCATGCTCTAAAGTATTCTGGGAGAACAAATATTGTTGAATTATGTGATCATCTCATCTAAAAGCTTATATTGTTATAAAGGGAACATCTACACCATAGGTAGCTTTAACTTGTTAATCTTCTTGGACACAAATAAGTACCACCATATGAGAAACAGCCACAACTCCCACAGCACTTTACTTGAGCATGACATATATTGACCTAAATTATTAGGCATATTCAACTTTGGGAGCTGTCATTGTGGGTAAAATATGTATATATCTCCCTATGAGAGCAGCAAACAAGTGCCCTTAACTACAGTTCTGAACATTAACAGCTCCAATTCATACAGTTAGCTAGCAGCTTTCATTGGGTTCTCCAATAACAAGGCAACAAATACTAACAATGAGTCGCTTGAATGTTAAAAATCATAAAAAGATTGTTTTCTTGAACTTATACATGAAATCTGTAAGTACTTGAGTAAGCAGTACAAGTAGTTCAGAGGCTACTTTCGCAGCAATCAGAATTCAAATGAGCCTTTTAAATGTGCAACTTTTTTTCTTTTTTCTACTTCACTAACTTCTTATAATATGGTATAAGTAATAAAATCTAGAGAAATTGGAAAAAAGTATATATGAACTAACCATTGGAGAAGAATGCTGAATGATAAGAGGCAAATGCCTAACAATTGCTTCCAGCCACTGCTCCCTTCCTGACAGCTTTTCAGCTCCATCATTATTTACTGCACAATCATGTGGCCCATAAGATGGAGCCGACGAGATTGTTTTTAATTTGACATAGTCAGATGTGAAAGGGCTATCAAGTGATATATCACTCGAAGGATCTTCAGTCCCCTTAAATCCAGAGATTGCACGAAGACATTCATCCAAAACCTGCAAAACATTCATGTCACACTAACCTCCAGAGAACATAATACAATTACCAGTTAAGAAATCGGCCCCTTCTAAATGCAGCATTTTGTTCTTTTTTTCAGGTGGAACTTTAGCTGCTAGTGCTAAACAGAATACAACAAAATGATAATTTTCAACTAACAGATTCTGAAACAAGGATCAAAATTAAACAAGCACTTAGATTCTAATTAACTGCACGCCCTTTTATCAATTCAAATGCTAATGGTTTCAGAAAGCTTCATGCAGCTTGATGCCTTCTCTCGCTATCCTACCCATCTAATGTTGATTAGCATGATTCAAGGAGATTTAATATAGGAGTATTGATTAGCATAATTTCAGGAGATTTGATTATATTTAGGAGATCTGATTTTATTTGATTTTATTTAATAGTTGGATTGATTGTATAGATTTATTTTATTTCCTTAATTAGTATTAGGAGCTTTGTATAAATTTCCTTGCTCATGGATGTAAACACACACAAAAAAAATAAAAAGCCTTTTCTTCTTCTGAAAATCTACATGGTATCAGAGCCATTGCTGCCTTTTGAGGTGAGTTATCTCTCTCGCAGCACTAAGGTTCTGTTTTAATCAAAGAGGTCGAGTTTTCTCTCTCTTTGTGGCTGTCCGCAACACAAACTCCTTCTAGTCAGTTTTGTTTTTGAAATTTTTTCTATTAGGGTCGTTGGAACATTTCGAGCCTATCCCTACTAGTTTTTATTTTTACTTTCACCGGAGCTAAGGCTCGCTCGAGACAAATTTGGTTTCCAGCGAGGCGTTTGAGCAATTTTCTTTAGATTTTCTTCTAATTAGGCAGAAATATAGAGACATTCAAGGAGACGGTTTCTTGAGAAATCTTGTCTTCGGATGAAATTCAACTTCTCTGTCGCCTCCTAGCCAAACTTGACTCCGCTAATGTTGCCACATCCAATCATGTGCAATCAGGTACTGCCTTTGCTGCTCACCTTAATTCTTGGATTGTTGCTTCTGATGCAAATAGACACATGACAGACTCTTCTAAAGGAATTCAAAACTATTCTCCGTGTCCCAAATGAGATAATGTTAAAATAGCCAATGGTTCTTTAACACTTATCTCTGGAACAGGTTCTGTCGTTTGTACTCCTAATATTAAACTATCAACCGTGCTCCATGTCCCTGAGTTCCCTGTCAATCTTTTATCTGTTAGTGCCGTCACCAAAGCTCTAAACTGTAAAATCGAGTTCTTTCCCGATCATTGTATTTTGCAGGATCTTCAAACAGGGAAAAGGATTGGCAGTGGTAGAGTGCGTGATGACTTGTATATATTAGATGTAATTCAAAACTCTGGTCAAGCCTTTTTTGGGAAAAGTAAGGATGTCAACCAAGAAATAATACAGAAGCATAGACGATTAGGACACCTATCATTCTTTGTTTTGAAGAAGTTATTCCGATTTGTTTTCAAGGACTCGATTTAAATATTTGTTCGGTGATGCGTGTGAATATGCCAAGCATACTAGAAACTCTTATCCCGTGAGTGATAATAGAAGCACAACTCCGTTTATGACTATTCATTCTTATGTATGGCAGTAGCGAGCTGCTACAGGCACTCATTAGTTCGGATTGGGTAGCGTGAAGGAGATAATAGAAGGACTTACTATAATAGGCATTTACGAGTGTTTGGATGCACATGTTTTGTTCATATTCCTGCGCAGTTAAGAGCAAAATTGTCCCCAAGGCGACCACTTGTGTTTTTTTTGGATATGTTCATATCGTTTCTACTTTTTCGGGAATATCGGTTTTCGGGTATCTAGGCATGGTTTATGCCATGATCAATATATGTGTTCTTGGATTTCTTGTTTGGGCTCATCATATGTTTACTGTGGGCTTTGATAGAAGCAGGTTAAGAAAGATAGCTGAAAGTGCTAGCATAAGGAAGAGATTCTATGGATGGAAAGAGGCCCTTCCTTACTTTCAAGGTTTCAGCATTCAAAGTCAAACGATTCATTGTTTCTTTGTCTGGTAGTCGATGGTTTCTTACTTTCATTGATTGCTGCACTAGGATGACTTGGGTATATTTGTTAAAAGCCAAAAGTGAAGTTTTCTCTTGTTTTCAGTCATTTCATATGATGATTTGTACTCAGTTTGATGCCAATAAAAATCTTGAGAACTGACAATGGCAGCGAATACATGGATAAAAGATTTGGTGCTTATTTGTAGTCCAATGGGATAGTCCATCACATTAGTTGTCCTTACACTAGTGCACAAAATGGGGTCGCTGAAAGAAAAAATAAGCATCTGTCAGAAGTAGCAAGATCTCTTATGTTCACCATGCATCTACCAAAACCTTACTGGGGATGGTATTCTAGTAGCTGCCTATCTTATCAACATAATGCCACTTAAACCCCTCAATTTTCAAAGTCCTCTAGAAGGGTAAGAATGAATATACAGTTCCTCCAAAGGTGTTTGTGTGTGTTTGCTTTGTCCACACTAGAAATTCTAGGAAACTTGATCCTAAAGCTATAAAATATATTTTCATTGGGTATTCTCCGACACAGGAAGGTTACAAATGTTATCATCTTCCGTCAAGGAGATCTTTTGTTAGCATGGATGTTACCTTTCGAGAATCTGAGCCCTATTTCAATATTACCTCATCATCTCTTCAAGAGGAGAGCAGTAAGGAGGAAGAGGTGATTCTACCTAATTCCATTGTTGGACCTCTTGATGACATTATCACAAGGGGAAAGTGAAATTGGAGAAAGAATTCAGGGGGAGACAATTGGGCGTTTGGATAGGCCTTATTTGAAAACTTACTCAAGGAGAAATAGAGTAGAAGAAGCCATCATGCAATCTACCAAAGCTGAACCTTCTTCTACTAGTAAGTTATCTACATTTCCTAATGAGTTAGATGTGTCTATTGCTCACAGAAAAAAAGTCAAATCTTGCACCACCAAATACCATTTATCTAATTTTGTCTCCTATAATTCTTTGTCTCCCTCCAATATAGCCTTTGCCTTGTCTATTACTTCTGTGTCTATTCCCCAGAATTGGAGGGAAGCTTTTGCAGACCCTAAATGGAAGCAAACTATGATTGAAGAAATGAAGACCTTGTCAAAAAATGAGACTTGGGAACTTGTCACCACCACGAGATTGGTAGTGAAGCTCAAAGCTGATGGCTCAATAGAAAGATTCAAAGCAAGAATGGTGGCTAAGGGATTCACTCAGACCTATGGAGTGGATTATCAAGAGACATTTTCCCCTCTTGCTAAGATAAACACTATTAGAATTCTTTTGTCTTGTGCAGCTAATCTTGATTGGGACTTGCAACAGTTTGATGTGAAGAATGCATTTCTTCATGGAGACTTAGAAGAAGAGGTGTATATGAAGATTCCTCTTGGATTTGATACTGCAGAGAGTCAAGGAAAGGTATGCAGATTAAAGAAAGCCTTGTACGGACTGAAGCGATCCCCCAGAGTTTGGTTTGATAAATTCAGCAAAGCAATGATCTCCTTCGATTACCAACAAAGCAATGTTGATCACACCCTCTTCATAAGACATCAAACGGGTAAACTCACTCTTCTCATAGTTTATGTTGATGACATGGTAATGACAGGAGATGACAAAGAGGAGATGGCCCGATTGAAGAAGTTGTTGGCACATGAATTTGAGATCAAGAATCTAGGAGAATTGCAGTACTTCTTCGGAATTGAGGTTGCTAGATCCGCAAAATCGCCCATTGAAAACAATCACAAGTTACAAAGCGGAGTTGGAGAGCCGGTTGATAAGGAAAGATATCAAAGATTGGTTGTTAGACTCATTTATATCTCCCACACTAGACCAGACATAGCCTATTCAGTTAGCCTGGTGAATTAGTTCATACATGATCCCCGAGATTCTCATATGCAAGCTATCTTTCACATTTTGCGGTATCTGAAGTCTGTTCCAGGGAAAGGTCTACTTTTCTCCAAACATGATCACCTCCAAATAGAAGCCTTTACAGATGCGGATTGGGCTGGATCTCTAGATGACAGAAGATCAACATCTGGTTATTGTACGCTCATAGGAGAAAACTTGGTTAGTTGGAGAAGCAAGAAGCAAAGTGTAGTTGCTAGATCAAGTGCGGAGGCAGAATATACAGTTGTGGCCTAGGGTTGCGAACTGCTTTGGCTACAAGAGCTACTACAGTAATTGAGATTGTCTGAAAAAGAAAAACTTTCCTTGTACTGTGACAATAAGGATGCCATCAGTATAGCTCATAATCCAGTCCAGCATGATCGAACAAAGCATGTGGAAATTGATCGACACTTCATCAAAGAAAAAATTACAACTGGTGTCTTAAGTTTGTTTCATGTGCCATCGGAAAAACAGCTAGCTGATGTGCTTACCAAAAGTCTCAACAAGCGAACTTTCCATACTTTGAGTTGCAAGTTGGGCATGTGCGACATCTTTACACCAACTTGAGGGGGAATGTTGATTAGCATGGTTCAAGGAGTGTTGATTAGCATGATTCAAAAATATTTGATCTAGGAGTATTGATTAGCATGATTTCAGGAGATTTGATTATATTTAGGAGATCTGATTTTATTTGATTTGATTTGATAGTTGGATTGATTGTATAGATTTATTTTATTTCCTTAATTAGCATTAGGAGCTTTGTATATATTCCCTGGCTCATGGATGTAAACACACAAAAAATATAAGAAGTCTTTTCTTCTTCTCAAAATCTACATCTGTGCATTTTGCTTTGCCCTTTGCTCCGATAAGCATACAGTCTTACATTATTTGCTGACTAGCAGAATGGGAAGAGAATGATTATCGTATTCTTGTAACACAACCGGAATTGCAGGAGGAAAAAATTATAAGGGAGTAGACCATGAAATTTTTTGAAAGAAAGCCAAGAGCATGTGCAACCTGGAATCTAAAATATGCAACTACCAAACGCCATATTAACAAGAAAAGGCAATCGGACCCTAGCAAATAGGAATTCTATTGCTGGAGCACATTAAACAGCTTTTTCCATTGCTCATCCTAACTGTCAAGGAAAGGTAAAAGAGCACCTGAATTGGGAAGGGGCCAAGCAAGAGAATCCTCACAGTAGAGTCCTATAGAGCTTCACTAAAAAGAATTATCAGGACTGTTTCCTAGGTCAAGTTTAAAGTGCAGGAAACCCCTACAAACGAAATTTCTTGTATTGAGTGCATGGTGTGCCATATTAACAGCTGAAAATCTAAGAACGAGAACTTTCCGGTGTTTTGGTGCTTCATGTGCAAAGAAGGTAAAACTGTAACCACATTCTAATACATTGCAGAATAGCCATAGAACAGTTTTTGGTCTTCAAATTGTTGGGAGTTAATCGTTGGAAAGTTTGAAGAGTCACGAGAAACAGAAAACAAGCATTCACCGGAAGTAAATTGACAATGTTGGAGAGAAGATAACGGAAAATAAGAGTGCTTGATAGATATGAAACTATTTTCCTCCAGTTTCAGAGGTTGTCTTTCTTCCCCTACATATATTTTTGGAACGCCCATGATATCCCTATTTGCATAGATATTTGGTTGAACTTCTCAGCTGGGAACTACTTGTTAAAACTAATTTCTCAGATGGGACCCTCTTTGCCATCTTGCTTATGCATATACACCTTGAATCTGCGATTCTTCCTATGTTTTTGTCACAATAAAATACCTTATCGTCAAAGAGAAATAATAGACAATTATTCTCTCGACTCGAGCAATCAAGTATGTTAAAAAGCCACTAATAGCTTAAGAAAACAAATAGACGCCCTATTTTTTTCCTGAAATGTACAACAAATGTGAATAATGATTTTAAGAAAAATCAAAAGTGAATAGGAGTTGTTTTTGTTGTAAGCAAAAATAGTTAGAAGATCCTGAATCTACTTTTGATGTACTAGAATCCTTGTGAGAAGACAAAGGATTAGGAATTGTTTTGCCTCTCTTCTTCCTTGTAAATATGGGGGACTACACACCCTTTGTATAGTTATTATTAATATACAAATATGTTACCTTCTCAAAAAAAAATATCAAAAGTGAATATTACCTAAACGTTGCATCGCACAATGAAGTGATAACCCATAAAGAAGATATATAATCTTTTACTCTAGCTCCATAAGCTATTTGAATCACGGTAAATTTCAGGGACAGATAGGATTGGGATAAGTCACCTAATTCCTGTTGACTTTTCATTTTGTTTTCATCCGATTGCAGGAAACAATTGCTTCAAAAGGAATTAATTGCCAATTGACAACAAGATGCCACTTACCAGCCCCCACCGACACCCCCAAACAAAAATAGAAAAAAGAAAAATAAGAACTTTGTGTTCAAAGAATATAAAGCCACGGTGCTTTCAGACCCCTAGTGTAGCACAAAGCAGGATAAAAGAAGCACAAAAAGGGGAAAGAAAAACCAAAACATAAGCAGGCATCTCACCTTGATTGAAGCGGTTATGACTTTTTCTCCAATTGGCTCATTTAAGTTTCCAACATTGTCCCTCCACGACCTCGTCTCAGGAGAGAAAGTCAAGAATCCATGAACTAAAAGGGAAACCTTTTCCCAACACAAGACAATCACGCTAGGATAGTTGTGTGCCACAGATCTGACGGCCTAGAAAAAGTATGAAACAGAAACATTTCAATGCACTCAACTAAAGTTTTCTTTAGGATATCCTACTGTTACAACTACTTACTTTTATCAACCATCTCTGTTTTACTCTGTATTTATTAAGTAAAATTATAGCAGACCATAAATTAAACAAAAGATGGGAAAAAAAGGGCGCAGAATTGGTAGAACTTCATACAGCCAAGAAAACCTAAATCAGCGGTGAACCACTTTCTGGATTGACTGATCAATTACCTGAAGTGCCTCAAAACCCACAGACGGGCTTACTCCTGGTTCACAATATCGAAACAACGTAGACAAAATGCCCGACTTCGATTGAGAACTGATGAAACCTGAAAGGCCAAATATAGAGGCATACTATCAATAGTTGGATCCATAATCAGCCAGTTCACTGAAATTATTTAAAAAACAATTAGGATTTCCCAAGCAATATCCTATGTTAGCATACACATTTTAGCCAGGGTAGAGGTTTAACTAACAAATTAGTTTAGGAACCACTTGCACTGTCTTACTTAAAACAGAATTTCCAACATTTTGACAAATTAGATAGCCTCCAATGTAAAGCTCTTGATCAATATAATATACAGTAATAAAGCTTACTACAGTAGTTACAACCTGAACCCATGCAGATTGTTGTACTGATTATTCAGCCAAGGGAACAATGAGACTACCTGCTGATACTTCTGCCATAAGCATGTCTCTGACTTCAACTGAAAATGGTGAGACTGACAAGGCTGCACTCAAGCAGTTGATTGCTGTCGCCTGCAGACAAAACCATGCATTTGAATAACACAGCTACATAGACACTTTTGTTTTTTGTTCGGTAATATATTGTTACAGAGTTACTCTAACATCAGTTTCAGTAGATTTTAAAACAACGAGAAGCTCAACTAATTGCTTCATGAAGCTGTCTGTCTCAACTTTCGTTGGATTTCAGATGATGCATTTAAAGAGTAATAGAGGGTATATATCAACAGAATATGTCCAATGGAGCTTTTAATATTGCATACTGTAACAAATTTGAGAAAGAAGAATCTGGGAATGTTTCCAAATGAAAAGTATAACACAGAAAGGTGTAGCTTGGGTTATACCGTCAGATGTTAAGAGCTTGTTGGAGAGCTGGAACGGGCAGAGGATTGGAAGGATACAAAAGCAGATCTGGAGAACTATCCCTTTATGCGTCTTCTGGACTATTTGGACAGAGAGGAATAGTGCTTGTTTCGAGAATAAGAGGAACCACATCTCTAGAGTCAGGAACCTTAGTTTGCAAAATCTGTTTTTTTGGTGTAAAAGGAATATACTAGAGAGTATTGATCAGTATATGGAATTTTTAGACTCACTTGGAAATATGTAACTAGAGATTGTTGTAGGGTCTGTCTTGTTTGGTTGTAATTTTGAGTACCTTCTTGGTACCTTTATTAATAAACTTTTATCTTATCAAAAAAAGTATAACAGAAAGGTTAGAAAATGTTTACTATGGCTAAAAAGAAATTTGACTTCAAAGTGCTTCACTATTTTCTTCAACTGGGTTAACAGGTGAAAAGAAAACTCAAGAACTTAATTGTTCAAATAGGGGGGCTAAAACACCTAGGGTTCTCAAATTCTGTTATAGTCTTTGAAGTAAGTCTGAGACGGTAACAGTAGAACTTGAGAAAATTCACTAAATAGTCATAGGTAAAATGTGCATGCGTGAATGCAAAATAATAGTTTTACACAATCCAAAAGAGCGGTAAGACAATAAGTGAAATGGACAACTAAGGTGCCAAAGTTCCAATATTATGGACACAATAACCCGTACACGGCCTTAGGATTGAGGATATTATAAAACAGAAGAATCCAGTTAAGTAAATCTAACTGAAGACGAATGCAAATAAAAAAATTAGAAAGGTAAGTTTTGGAGTCATTCATGTGCGTTGATGGGCATCAAACAAAGTTAAACAGCCTTGGATTTTAAGAGATTATAAAACTAGACATGCAATCAGAAAAACAATAGTACCTCTTTTTTTAAAAAAGTAAATAACTACTCCCTCTGTTTCGCTTGTTACCTTTCTCAAAAAGAAAGTACTCCCGCTGTTTCAATTTATATGGCATAGTTTGACTGGGCACGGAGTTTAAGAAAGAAATGGAGACTTTTGAAAAGGTCTTAAATATGTCATAACATTAGTGTGGCTATAAGACTTTCGAAGTTTGTGGGCTTAAACATGCCAAAAATACAACGTTGCAAACAGAACTATAAAAGCTTGTCATTAGGTTAAAATGGAAAGTTCAAGTTAAATTGCTTCCAAATTTAGAAAAACGCTTTTTTGGAACGGACTAATAAGAAAATACTGTCATTCTTTCTAAAACCGAGGGGAATAATAAAGAAGACACCAAAAAAAGTTGAAGAAAAACCAAACCCAAAAAGAAAAGAAAAACATAAATACAACTTTGCAAACAGAACTATACGATGGAATAGGTTAGACATGACTGAAATAAATCGCTCAAGCTCCAATATTCAACCAAACAATTCCTAGTTGTTCCTCGGATATCATTTTTGGCAAAGTTTAGCTGAATCTAAATGATTACTCATTGGTGCCTGTAAATTGACATCTCATAAATGATTTTCAGCATTCCTTGGATAAGCAGTTCATAAAAAATGTACAGCTCATAACTCCACTGGGACTAACCAATAGGATATTTTGGTCACTTCTGAACAAAAAGCCTACTTCAATCCTAGCTTGAATAGAAGAGAGAACCGTTGGCAACAATTCCCGAGGCATTCTAGAATACCTGCAAAAGGATCACACAGAAACATGCAAGTTTCCACATATTAGAAATTCATTGATTGTTAAGACGCGTATACAAATTCTGGAAGATATCTTCATAGAGATTATAGCAACAACAACAACAAACCCAGTATAATCCCACGAGTGGGGTTGGGGAGGGTATTGTGTACACAGACCTTACCCCTACCTTTGAGGATAGAGAGGATGTTTCCGATAGACCCTCGGCTCAAGGAAAGAAAAAGAAAGCAGTAACAACAGCAATACCACCAGCAAGATAATAAGAAACAGGCAGTAACCATAACAGGGTAATAAGAGAGCAGGCATTATCAACAGCAATACAATAAGAAAACATGTAGTAACCAAGGCTGTCAATAACCGAAAAGCAAGGCTGACTAACTACTACTACCGGTATGGGGAAGACACACACTCGACTACCTACTAACCTTCTACCCTAATCCTCGACCTCCACCTCTTCCTATCAAGGGTCATGTCCTCAGTGACCTGAAGCAACACCAAGTACCTCTCCCCAGTACTTCTTTGGCCTACCTCTACCCCGCTTCAGACCACCCAAGGCCAACCTCTCACACCTCCTTACTAGAGCATTTGTGCTTCTCCTCTTCACATGCCCAAACCACCTAAACCTCGCTTCTCCCATCTTGTCCTCTACCGAGGCTACGCCTACCTTCTCCCGAATATCTTCATTTCTAATCTTATCAATCCTGGTATGTCCGCAAATCCATCTCAACATCCTCATTTCCGCTGCCTTCGTCTTTTGGACATGAGAGTTCTTGACTGGCCAACACTCTGCTCTATACAACATGGTAGGTCTGACAACCACTCTATAAAACTTACCCTTAAGTTTAGGTGGCGCATTCTTATCACATAAAACACCGGATGCGAGTCTCCATTTCATCCACCCCTCTCCAATACGATGAGTAACATCCTCATCAATCTCCTCATTTCCTTGGATAATAGACCCAAGGTACTTGAAACTAGCTCTCTTATGGATTACTTGTGTATCAAGCCTCACTTCCACGTCCGCACCCTCAGTTTCGTCACTGAACTTGCACTCTAAGTACTCAGTCTTGGTCCTACTCAATTTGAAACCTTTGGACTCCAGGGTCTGTCTCCAAACCTCCAGTCTCGCGTTAACTCTGCCTTGCGTCTCGTCAATCAAAACATCTTCATAGAGATTATTTTTTTATAAAATAAAATAAAAACCCACTTTAATTTCCTACACTTCAAATGTTCACACCTGCACATTAAATAAAGAATAACATCAACACTGAACTCCTGAACCAAATAATTATAGATTATAAGGCCCTCAAAATTGCCAGGTTAGACACTAAATACATTTTGATAAATATCAATGTCTATGGTACATATAAACAATACAAATATTTCAAAACCACCCTTAAATTAAGTCCATAAATTTTCATAGAAGGACCTCATGCATATAAGTCTTAGCTTAGCAGACTTCTCCCTCTCGGTCGGGGAGTGGCAGTTTGATACTCCAATTTGGTTTCGATAAGAGGACAAACAAGATATTTTCACTAGTCTTTCCCTTCCCCAGCTTTTCTTAGTTCCTCTCTTTTCTATTTCTTCCATCACCCAGCTGGTAAGCCTAGTNCCCCCCCAACCCCCCCAAACAGAAGCACCCCCTTTCTCCCCACCTCTGCAGCCACCCAGCTCCACCCTCCTACTATCTTCTTTTATGTCTTATACTCTACGCCCACACCTTCTTGCTTTGCCTCAGCACACAATCTTCTTACACACTCCTCTTTCCAACCTCCATCCAGTCAGCATTAGATGTCATCCCAAGCACCTCTCCCTCCTTCCCACTGCTGAACATGAAGAAAAAGGAATGGAGAAAAACAAAATGAGATACCAAAGAAGGATAACAGAAGACAAAATGGTAGACGAAATAGATTGAATGTCTGGACAGGAAGCTAAGAAGGATAGAGTGCAACGGGTAAAATTAGATAGAAGAGAAAAAACACAAGGATTATAAAACGTTGTTGCTCAATGAAGTTGGTTTATTATAGGAAAAGAAGTAATCATAGTGATGGTGAATATGCTATTATACACCAAACATGATGCTGTTCTAAGAATGCTATTATGCACTAGACGTGATGTCGTTCTGATGGAAAACTTGTAGAAGGAAGGGGTTAGTTGCTATTTGAGGCAGAAGGGTTAGAGCAAAGTAAAAAAAATTGGGGTCAATTACCATATTTCGAAGAAACAATAATTAGAAGGGCTCTAGAGCACCTTATTATAAACTATCTCTGGATCCGTCTGCTTTCTCTTTTTATAGTGACCTCCTCTTCCATGTTTCTTCTCTAAACATTCCATCCCAGTCCCTCACCTTGTTTCTCTACACTATGCAATATTCAAGCTTTGATTTTTCTCCAAAAAGACAAAAATCTTTCTTGACTGTTATTGGTCCTTTTCACTAATCACTTCATCCCGATACTGAAAAAAAAAACTAATCACTTCATCCAGATTGGTAAATATCATATTGTAAGGCGTGGAGTAGGTCGATTTTAACTTTAGACTCCTTCACCTCTCCACACTGAAGTGAAGAAATGGAAAGTTATTCCTAATTTATGTCACAGGTCCTTTGATTGAATGCTTAAATGGTCACCTCTACCCACCACTTTCCTTTCTCTCCTAAAATTCTCGACCAATCGCATTTGTTAGTAATTGCAGTGTTCATAGCAGCTAGCGCAAGCCTGCTCTCTTCTTCATCTTCCCCTCATCATCTGTTCATCTCTTCGTTATTATTAACTTCATCTCTATTCATTATCTTCATTATTATCATCTCTTCATCATTATCTTTCAACTTTTATGTAGAATTAAAGGAAAAAAGATAAAAGATTATGATTTTATCAGATTTGTATGATCTTTAGGACATATAGGTGTAGATATTTTTAGGAAAATGGTTAAACAGAAAATCCCTTGAAATCAGGAATCTCCTTGAGTCAAGGGATTGTTACCATCTTTTGTAGAACTCTTTTTTGTATAAATTCATGACTCTTGTACAGATTTAAATCATTGAATATAAGAATTTTTTCTCCTCAAACTTTCATGGTATCAGAGCCATGAAAGAGACTGCTGCTGCAGATTCAACTCAGGCCATCATGAGCCTAAGCAGAGATACATCAAATTACTCATTCCAGTTACCTGTCCACAAGCTGAATGGACAGAATTATCTGGAATGGGCTCAGTCCGTTAAACTGGCTATAGATGGAAGAGGAAAAATGGGGTATTTGACGGGAGAAACTAAACGGCCAAAAGCCGAAGATTCAAAAGTAAGCACGTGGAAGTCTGACAATTCACTCATCAATGCGCTAATTAATTCTATGGAGCCATCTGTAGGTAAACCTTACCTTTTCCTTCCCACAACAAAAGATATTTGGGAGGCTGAGAGAAACTTACTCAGATTTAGAAAAAATTTCAGAAATCTTTGAGGTAAAAACAAAATTGTGGAAGTCTAGAGAAGGGGAGCATGAGGTTACTGATTTTTATAATGAGATGATGTCTCTTTGACAAGAGTTAGATCAATGCTATAATGATGAGTGGGGTTGTCCAACCGATAGTGTTAGGTTCATGAAAAAAGAAGAAAATGATCGTGTGTATTTATTTTTGGCTAGGTTAAATAAGGAGTATGATGAGGTTAGATCCCGGATTTTAGGAAAGAAACCATTGCCAACTCTTAGGGAAGCTTTTTCGGAGATAAGGAGAGAAAAAAGTAGGAGGAAGGTGATGCTAAAACCAAATTCAGATTAAGATTTCAAAATGCTAGAAAACTCTGCGCTAGCTATAGTAAGAAACGAAACTGAAGGGGATAAAAAGAAAAAAACTTGGTGTGAGCATTGCAGGAAACCATGGCACACAAAAGAGACATGCTGGAAACCTCCAAATTGGAAGAAAAAGGGAATGATGGTCGATTTGGCCAGCCACTTGACAATCGAGCATTGCAGGTTTTCGGGGATGACAAGGGCCAACAGACTACTTCAGATTTACCTCAGTTCAAAAAGGAACAGTTAGAGTTGTAATCTCCACAAATTCAAGGTGAAAGCACTCCAAGCCAACCATCTTGCTCATTTGTCCAAAGAGGTATCCTACCCTCAGTCTTCCTTGGTAGTAGTACCCTGCGAAAATTCCCTTAAATTGTTGATTCCGGAGCAACTGATTATATGACCAGTTGTTCCCAATCTTTTTCCACATATGTCCCATCTGCAGGAAATAAAAAGATTCGGGTGGCAGATGGTTCACTCTCGACAGTAGCTGGGGTGGGGACAGTTAAAATTTCACCCCGTCTTGTCCTACATGATGTTCTTCATGTTCCTAAGTTATCATGTAATTTATTATCAGTAAGTAAACTTGTCCGTGCCCTTCGTTGTCGTGCCATATTTTATTCTTCCCGTTGTGAATTTCAGGAACCAATCTCGGGGAAGACGATTGGCAGTGCTAGAGAAAGTGAAGTTCATTAGGTCTTCGAGGATAGATCTAATTTTAGTTTTCAATCTCCAAGTACCTGTTTGAACTCTAATTGTATTTGTAATAATGTTATGCTTTGGCATTATAGGTTGGGACATCCTAGTTTTTTCTATTTAAAATATTTGTTTCCGAGTTTATTTAATAATTAAAGTCCATCTCTTTTCAATTGTGAAGTTTGTGAAATTGCGAAGCATCACCGAACCTCTTTCCCATTTAAGTCATATAAAGCTACTAAACCTTTTCTCCTAATTCACAGTGATGTTTGGGGACCATCTAGGATTCCTACCATGACAGGGAAAAAATGGTTTGTAAGCTTTATTGATGATCATACGAGACTTAGTTGGATATACTTATTGAAAGACAAATCTGAAGTCAAAAAGATCTTTAGAATGTTTTATACTATGATTGAAACACAATTTCAAGTGAAGATACAAATATTTAGGAGTGACAATGGAAGAGAATACCTTAATGAAGCATTAGGGGATTTTTTCATAGAAAAAGGCATAGTACAACAAAGATCGTGTCCAGATTCTCCCCAACAAAATGGGGTTGCAGAGAGAAAAAACAAACATCTCTTGGAGGTTACTTGCCTTCAAAAGTTTTACAGTTCAAGACACCCCTAAGTGTTTTTCAGGAGACTTTTCCTTCTTCTAGGTTGATGAATGATTTACCTTTGAAAGTTTTTGGATGTACTTCTTTTATTCATAACCGAACTCGAAGGGAAATTAGATCCTAGAGCCAAAAAAATGTGTGTTTGTGGGATATGCACCAAATCAGAAGGGGTAAAGTGTTACGATCCACATAAGAGAAAAATATTCACTACGATTTATGTAACCTTCTTTGAGTCTGAACCTTTGTTTTAAAAGGCGTTCTGGGGCGAGCCCCGGGGCGAGGCGTACCAAAAACGCCCCGGGGCGATGGTGTGGGGCGAAAGTCTCAAGAGGCGTACGCCCGGGCGTTCGGGGCGCATTTTTTTAGTAAGGAGTAAGCCCCAGAGACTTTTTCAAATTAAAACAAAATTTGTTGAATTAGTCTTTCATATAATACCCAAATTCTCAAAAGTCAGTTTGGTAATTACTCAAAAGGTTTAAAAAGGAACTCAAAAGTATTAAATTTAAAAGTAAAGACCTTTTTTATTGATTTAAGCCCTAATTCATGGTTTTCTCAATTTTTTATCTTTTCCGCTAGTCTGCTAATATCTCCCAAAAGCAACGAATATTTAATTTTTTTTTACAAATACAAAGAGAACTACATTCTTCTTCATAGCAGCAAATTCAAAGTTTAAATTGCAAGTTAATCATACTTTTTATTCCTCCATATAGAAAACTTTATTTTTTGACTCAAATTACTTGTGCTTGTAAGTAACGTATAATAGATTATTTTGATTAGTTTTTTGTGGGGATGGAACACACATATATATAGTTTTCTTCAATATTTATGCAATTTTAACTGTTTATAAATATTTACTGTCATTATATTATTTTATAAAATATTAAAAACTAAATACCTATGGGGCTTACGCCCCGCTGAGGCATATGTAAAACGCCTCGCCTTACGCCCACGCCTTTTAAAACACTGGTCTGAACCATATTTTAAGTCTCATCCTCAGGGGGAGAAATTAAGAGAAGATTCGCTCTTTCTGAACCTAGGAAAGAATCAGATTATAGAATTTATTCAGATAAGGACTTTAGTGTTTTATCACCGGAATTAGATGTTTTAAATAGTGAAAATCTGGAATCTAAATCTTTAAGAAAAAATCATGACGTTGATACAAATAAAGCAAATGATCAAACAGGTACAAAAGAGCTTATTGTCTACTCGAGAAGGAGCAATAATCAAAGACATGAAACTGGAACTACTTGGCACTGTCAAGGATCTAAACCCCAAGATTCTACAAATCCTCAAGATAACTCCCCTATAAACTTATCCGAGTCTAGTCCTGTCCAGTCCGATTCTAGTGATCTTGACCTTCCCATTGCCTTGAGGAAAGGTGTCAGACATGGTGCAAAGTATCCCATATCCAATTTTGTGTCTTTTAAAAATCTTTCCCAAAAGTTCTCTGTTTTCTGCTCACAATTATCTAGCGTGGAAATTCCAAGAAATGTTCAGGATGCTCTAAAAGTTCCCAAGTGGAAGGAAGCAATTCTTGAAGAAATGATGGCTCTTGAAAAAAATAAAACGTGGGAGGTAGTAGATTTGCCATAGGAAAAGAAGACTGTTGGTTGCAAAATGGGTGTTCACAGTAAAGTTCAGATCAGATGGGTCCTTAGAGAGATATAAGGCACGTCTGGTAGCCAAAGGTTTTATACAAACCTACGGGATTGACTATCTGGAGACATTTGCGCCGGTGGCAAAACTAAATACTATTCGAGTTTCTGACAATTGCAGTGAACTTGGACTGGCCTCTTCAACAACTTGATGTAAAGAATGCATTCCTTAATGGCGACTTATTGGAAGAAGTCTACATGGACCCTCCTCCAGGATTTGAAAACAGGTATGGCTCGAGAGTTTGTAAATTGAGGAAATCTTTATATGGGCTAAAGCAGTCTCTGAGAGCATGGTTTGAAAGATTCACCGAGTTTGTGAGGAAGCAGGGATATGCTCAGGGACAAGCAGACCATACAATGTTCACAAAGCACCCAAAAGAAGGGAAGATAGCAGTTTTAATAGTGTACGTGGACGACATAATTCTAACAGGGGATGACTCAATAGAAATAGAAGCCTTGAAGAAGAAACTAGCCTCAGAATTTTAAATCAAAGATCTCGGACTATTGAAATACTTCTTAGGTATGGAGGTAGCTAGATCAAAAAGAGGACTTGCAGTTTCTCAACGTAAGTATGTACTTGACTTGACGAAACTGGGATGAGCGGATGTCGCCCAGCAGAAACTCCAATAGATCCCAACTTTTTGGGATGGAGGGAAAACCGGTGGACGTAGGACAATATCAAAGACTAGTTGGAAAGCTTATCTATTTATCACATACAAGACCAGATATAGCTTTCACAGTAAGTTTGATAAGTCAATTTATGCATTCTCCTCGTGAAGAACAATTGGAGGCAGTTTATAGGATATTAAGATACCTTAAAGGTTCACCAGTGTGAAAGGATTATTCTTTGGAAAAGGTGTACATCAAAGGATTGAAGCTTATACAGACGCTAATTGGGCAGGCCCGATCTCAGACAGAAGGTCTACCTCTGGGTATTGTACCTATGTATTGGGTAATCTTGTAACCTGGAGGAGCAAAAAGCAGAATGTGGTAGCCCGGAGTAGTGAAGAAGCAGAATTCCGTGCTATGGCCAATGGAGTATGTGAGATAATTTGGCTCAGGAGAATTTTAGAGGAGCTGAGAAGGCTTGTTACAATGCCTATGAGACTATATTGTGACAACAAAGCTGCAATCAGAATTGTCACAATCCAATTCAACATGATAGAACAAAACATGTTGAGATAGATAGACATTTCATAAAAGAAAAGGTTGAAGATGGAGTAATCTGCATGCCCTTTGTTCAGACTTCTCAACAGATAGCCGATATTCTCACTAAGGGACTATTCAAGCCACAGTTTGAATCTCTAGTTAGCAAGTTGGGCATGATTGATATCTATGTACCAACTTGAGTGGGAGTGTAGAATTAAAGGAAAAAAGATAAAAGATTCTGATTTTATCAGATATGTATGATCTTTAAGAGATATAGGTGTGGATATTTTTAGGAAAATGGTTAAACAGAAAATCCCTTGAAATCAGCAATCTCTTTGAGTCAAGGGATTGTTACCATCTTTTGTAGAACTCTTTTTTGTATAAATTCATGACTCTTGTACAGATTTAATTCATTGAATATAAGAATTTTTTCTCCTCAAACTTTCATTCTATCAAAGTCAAACTGAAGTTAGAGCCAACATACATACATACATACATACATACATACATACATACATACGAACATACATACATATATGTACGTACGTATGTTATATATTTGAAATTTAGAGATAAATGAAAGTGATACCACTTGACCGAACAAAGCTTCCTGATCCACTAGTTAAGCGCATCATTTGGCTTCTTGAGGTTGGAACTCGAACCTCAACCTGGAAATTCTTTTTGCAAATATTGAGCTAGCCTTTTTTGTGCTAAAAACAATAGGTGGAGCAGAATCAAACCCTACCTACAACAAAGCCAAGGCTCCTCATGTTTACTAAAGTGATATAATAATTTGATGTTCATTAAAGTGGTTTGTTTATCTTTTTTCCTCGTATAAATGTCGCCACCGATTATGAAAGATCCTGCATTCGCCACTGCATGAGGGTCCCAATAATTAGTTTATTGCTCGATGCCTGAGTTAGTTCATGGATGATGTGTACTTGTTGATCTGTCTTATAAATATTTCTTTTTCCTATATCTTTACAGTCCTTATTGCTCAAAAATAAAAGTACTAGAGAAACATTTAGCTAAATCAAAGCACTAGAAATTGAACCCCTGCCTCTCAAATCAACTTGGCACTGATAGTATGAACCTTTGTGCTTTCATCTTTTTAATACACTTGTGTTCACCAAACTCTATCAAGTCAACTGGACATAGTGCTTCTGTTTCTACCGATATTAATATCTTCCAGAAAGGAGTAGTGAAGATAAGAGCTAATATAACTGAATGCCAAGATAGAAGAAAATTAAAGGCCGTATTTAGATTAGAGACTCTTACGGTGTGGATGATAACAAAAGCATCAAAATTTTGAACAAGGACGCTAGCAATCCACTGTGCGTTTCACTTTTGATCAAGTATAAAGTCCCTACCATCAGACATTCAAAAAACAACAGTTAAACTCAGTTAAAAAAAACATGCCAAGAAGGCATCTTGAAAATTAGAGACAAAAATAGAGACCTCCCATGAGATCTCCTTAGTAACATGAAATTTGGATGATAATCCACTTAGTTTAACTTTTAGCCCACCCTGAAAGGATAAAGCATCACCACCACTGCCACCCCTGGTTTCAATGCTCTTGTTGAAGTGTGGTGACCGCCTCATTTAAAAGCCAAACGCTTAGAGAGGATACACTTTTATTTAGTTAATCATATCTTCAACAACCCCCCTCATGAGCAGTCGAATTCTTTTGATGGGTCAAGTAAGTGAAAAAATTTCCTAATGAAGGGTGTTGGTGAAACTTGAACTCAAGCTTAGATACCATATTGAAATATGTGAATGCCTCGTCTAAAAGCCAAAGCTGTTAGAAAAGACACACTTTTATTTAGTTGAATATATCTTCAACAATTATAAAACTCCCTTATTTTGACTTCATGTAACCGAACACATTTTTAACTTCATCAAAAAAAAACTCATCAATCTTGCATAAACATACCGTTCCCCTTTGGTAACAATATTTTGAGAAATTTAGAGGACAAAAAGATTTGTTCAACTTCAATGCATGTTATTAGAAAAAAAAAATTATGTGTATATTATATAGTAACAAATAGTCTAATGGTCAATAAAGTAGGTGCAAACTTTGGAAACCAGGGTTAAAATGCGGGCAGAGACAAAATACTGGGTTACTTTCCTCCCGTCTACCTAAGTTTTAAGTTTTGGCGGACAGAGTTATCCGATTATCCGGTACATGTGCTTGTGGGAGGTAGTAGATACCCGATAGAGTAGTCCAGTTGTGCACAAGCTGTCCCGACAATGACCGTTATCAAAAAAAATTGTATAGTAATCTTCAAGGATTTTTTAGGAATTAGGATACACGCACACACATATACGTATATGTACACGCGCACAAATACGTATATGTGTGTGTGCATATATGTAGACGTGTGTGTGTACATATACGTATGTGTGTGTGTGTATTTTTGGGTTGAATAACGGCAGCCAATTGAGATATTGGGTTCTCTTATTTCTTTGTATATCTTTTAGAACAATTTCCTAGAGATGTTTTTGATTAATTAAATAAGTGTTATTAGAATCCAAAGGGCAAGCTTTTCAATTCATGTAAAATATGTTTGGTTGCTGAAAAAAATAAAGGGGATTTCTATAATATTTAAGATGATACGGAAGGTATCTTGTTACAGAAAGAAGCATAGAGAAGCCTGATAAAATAACCTAAACAATTAAAAAGAAAACAAGACAAGAGCGCAAATTCATATCAAGCTAAAACCTCAAATCAAGCAAAATTCATGATGTACCTGAGTGTAATTGCATTAAAATCTGCCCAAGAGAGCTGGAGAGTGCCATAAATGACCCACATTTAGTTGATTCCTTGAATTCTGCAACTTGAAGAAAAACAGATGACGGAGCATCCAGCATAGCCCTGATGGCAGAGGCAGCTGCAACCCGTGCCTAGAGCAGACCCAATACCAGATATTAGTAGCAGAAAAACTGTGCTAAACCTCGGGTGATGCTTTACAGGACAGGTTATTAGAAAACTAACTTAACGAGTAGCTGTCGAATAAATATTCTTCTTTTCCTTTTTTAAGAATAATTATACTTCTCCTTTAGTTGCAAGTAGTACTTCTCCTTTTAGATGAATCCCCCACCCCCAAACCCTCCCCCCCAGGAGGGAGGTGGTGAGAAGGATAAATGATAGCAAAAAATATCATTTTGGATAGCAAAAGAATATATACTTTCTTTTAGATGCAAACAGTACTCCTCCTTTTCCAACAACCTCTCCTTACCCTAGGACAGAGCTCGTAAGGAGGATAAATGATAGCAAGAAATATAATAAAATAGAAATACCTTTAGAAATGGATCAAACAGCAAACAACTCATCAGTGTTGCCTCATACCTCCTGCAAATAGCAACAGAAAAGTGGGAAAAAGGCAAGAGCAGGTACACCAAACAAAGTTGGAAAGGAAAATCAGAGACGTGAGCAGATGAAAAAGCAAAAATCTTAACCTTGGCAGTAGGACATCACTGGATGGTAAAAGCATTGTCCACTGAGCCGTAAATGATTTGGGATCAGCTAGACAAAGGTCCTTCAAGGAAAATTCAATTATTCAAATAAATTAGCATTACGCATAACAAAAAGAACAAAGAATCATGTTTTTGCCATGAGATATCCATGTCAACCATGGACAATCAATTGCCAAATTGCTCATTTGTGATGTCCCACACACAAGGCTCTGTGAAAAGCACATCAATTAAATAGCTACTAGCAGACTTAAAACAATAAGCAAATTCATCTTGGAGATATCACCGACTTATATAAATAAAAACACATGTATGAAAACTATTGCACAATCATACTAATTACAACAAAAGATATTGCTAACAAAGTTGCTTGTTTCACATGCCTTTTGGCAAAAGAGGCAGTCTTGACACTGGATAACCTTATTAAGAGGGAATTCCAATTTATTTTTTTTGATAACCGTCAAATAAGTACATGAAAGAAAAACGACAACAACAACAACAAACCCAGTGTATTCCCATAAATGGGGTCTGGGGAGGGTAGTGTGTACGCAGACCTTACCCCTAGTTTATAGAGATAGAGAGGCGGTTTCCGATAGACCCTCGGCTCAAGGAACAGTGGAGATAAAGCAACAAGTAGCAAGCAATAATAACAACAATGTATTATGGTAACGGCGCCGAATGACACAACAAATAATATAGTAAAGAACCATGAATAAGATAATACAAAAATAGTCCTAGTTCTACTGTAAGCCTAGGAGGAACACACTACTATCTGTCAACCTACAACCCTAATACTCGACCTTCGCACCTTTCTGTCGCCAGGTCATATCCTCGGTAAGTTGGAGCAATGACATGTCTTGCCTAACTACTTGTCCCCAATACTTCTTAGGCCCACCCCTTCCCTTCCTCAGACCCACCATGGACCTCTCACACCTCCTGACCGGAGCATCTATGTCTCTCCTCTTCACATGTCCGAACCATCTCAACCTCGATTCCCGCAACTTGTCCTCCACATATGCCACTCCTACCTTGTCCCTAATAACTTTATTCCTAATCCTGTCTTTCCTGGTATGTCCACACATCCATCTCAGCATCCTCATTTCGGCTACTTTCAACTTCTGGACATGGGACTTCTTGACGGGCCAGCACTCAGCCCCATACAACATAGTTGGTCTAACCACCACTCTGTAGTAGCACATTCTTATCACACAAAACCCCTTAGCCGATCCTCCATCTCATCCGCCCCGCTCCAATACAATGAGTAACATCCTCGTCAATCCCCCCGTTGCCTTGAATAATTGATAAGAGAAAATACTATGTATAAATTAAGTTGTTATCTTTGAATTTCAATACTAATATTTTCTTCTATTTTTTTTGTAGGAAATAATTGAAGTAATAAGAAAGTAATAGACAAAGAAGAAACTTGGCAGCAAAAGGTCAATTTCCAAATATTATAAGAGAGACCAAGACAAACAAAATAGAAGAAAAGAAAAAAGAAAAGATGATCAAAAGTTGTGAAGGTTTGGAAGGGAAAAAAAGGCAATCGTTCATTGTAGCTACTCTAAAACAAGTTGGCAACTAGCTATGGAAAGGAAGATAAAGTTGTCAGAACCAATTTGAGCTCAATTTCACAACAAGACATTACTACTTGCCAACTTTGTGCAAAGTGCCTTGAAATTTGCCAAATCTAGATGAAATCCGTTATGAAGCCAAGCAACTTGCAACATGAAATTTGCTAAATCTAGATGAAATCTGTTATAAAGCCAAGCAACTTGCAACATGAAATCTGCCAAATCTAAAGATCACATGGCTTTGAAATCTATAAATAGGTTCATTGGGAGCTGCTCAAAGGGAGAACGGACAAGAGAATAAGCTAGAAATACATTTGAAATCTCTCTTTCTTCAAGTCTTTTTCTTTCTTTCTTTCTTCTTCAGTTATCAAGTGTAGGAAATAACTCTAGTTCTTCTTTTTAATTAAATAGGGGGAACTATTCTTCTTGAATATTTCTTTCTATTTTCTTATTTAATGGACAAGGATATTTCCATTGTTAGTACTAATTCCGGTGTCTAAGGGTTTCGAGTTGAGCAGGACCAAGACAGAATACTTGGAGTGCAAGTTCAGCGGTGTTACTCAGGAGCCGGACGGGGATGTGAGGCTCAATACACAAGTCATTCCCAGGAGAGAGAGTTTCAAGTATCTGGGGTCTATAATTCAGAAGGATAGGGAGATAGATGAGGATGTCACACACCGTATTGGAGCAGGGTGGATGAAGTGGAGGCTCGCTTCCGGTGTCTTGTGTGATAAGAATGTGTCGTTGAGACTTAAGGGCAAGTTCTACAAGGTAGTGGTTAGACCGACTATGTTGTATGGGGCAGAGTGTTGGTCAGTCAAAAACTCCCATGTCCAGCAGATGAAAGTAGCAGAAATGAGGATGTTGAAATGGATGTGTGGGCATACTAGGTTGGATAGAATTAGGAATGAAGTTATTCGGGACAAGGTGAGAGTGGCCCCTGTGGAGGCAAAGATGTGTGAGGCGAGGTTGAGATGGTTCGGGCATGTTAAGAGGAGGAGCACAGATTATTACAAGGTGCATCTTATATCACAGATTATTACAAGGTGCATCTTGCACAGATTACTATTGTGCCTAAGAAAGAAGGTGCATCTTGTATCAGAGACTACAGGCCTATTAGTCTCGTGGGGAGCATTTACAAGATTATTTCTAAAGTGCTTTCCAACAGATTTAAGAAGGTACTTGACATGACTGTTTCGTCCTCCCAGAATGCGTTTGTGGAAGGTAGGCAGATACTGGATGCTGCCTTGGTGGCAAATGAACTTGTAGACTCCAGAAGGAAAAATAGAGAACCCGGCTTACTATGCAAGTTGGATCTTGAGAAGGCTTTCGACCATGTCAATTGGGAGTTCCTGGACTTCATTATGATGCGGATGGGGTTTGGGGAAAGATGGAGGGGATGGATAAAGTTCTGCATTTCCTCAGT